ACAGGAAGCCAAGCCCTACACATCTGATTTTGTCAGCCTCTTTTTCCAAATATCTGATACTGGGTCTGTCTTTATGTAGATTGAGTATGCTATCACAAGAGGAATCATTCAAAAGTAAATGGACCCTTTCTTCAGACGTTGGATCAATGCACCCATGAAATGCACAGCGACAAAGAATGGCAGGTGAGAAGCGTTTACTGATTTGTGCCTTCCTTTGAAAGCTGCTTCAGCAAAACGTGGAGTGCTTACTTACAAAAAGAAGCGGCATGAAACAGCTACCCAAAATATTTCTAGGAAAATAAATCAGAGCACGCTTAAAGTAACAGTAGTTCTGCTGGAGGGCTTAACATGGCTCCTCATTCAGTGCTGCGATAGGGAATATTCACTTGACTCCTAATTCATACATCACAGAACAGCTACAGGACTTTATACTCTCCTTTCCTACTCCTTCAGCCCTTCTCTCGTGATACTGCGACCCCAGGGAAATGTTGAACACTTGCAGGAAGAAAACTGCTCTACCCTAAGCCCATTCAATGCAAGTCATCTTTTACAAGACAGTAATACATTGTTAAGGTAGCATTCGCAATACAGTCATTTGCAAAGGATGAAACATCAATATATTGTTTGGCTGTTTGTTTTTAATGTCTTTTGGCTTAGAAAAGCATATCAGAGATCTTTGAATATGCAGCTTATCAAAACTAAATTTAAAACATTGCATGTTCTCTAACTAAAGATGCGTTAGTCCTCTTCTAGCTAGCAAGTATTGCTAACCTAAGCTGTTCTCCTTGGCTTGCTATTTACTAAAGCAACCACAATTCTCAACCTAAAGGATGTTAATATCTCAATATATCTTTTCTCCTTTATCCCCTCTAACCACAACACAATTTTCTCATGGCAAAGAAGGAGCAACAAAAGACACTTGAAAAATCTCACACATCTTCAGCTTGATTTTCCCTGCAGCTCCCTGGAGATCGTTCCTTGGTACTCCAGGAAAGGCAAAGAGAAGATTTTTCACACTGTACACCTGTAAGATTCTCCAGTCTCCTAAAAACCAAGAATTACATTCTATGTGCTGACATCATCTTGCCTGACAAATGAGCCATTCTCTTTCTTTAGTACAGCTGAAAGCAATCAAACATGCCACAGCTGGTTAGGGTAGTAGGGGCTAGGATACCAAAGTTCTCAGTGCCACTGTCTATAGCTAACAATTTTGCTTGACCCTACTAAGGTAATGATTTTTCTTTTAGTTCATGCTTCTCATAGATTTTAAAATAGATATTTTTAGACTGCTTAGTATCTATCTCAAACTGCATAAAGGAAAAGTTCACTTTCCCGTAGCCCAGATAAAGAACACAGCCAACAAGATGCAGACAAAAACAAAGCCTAGAGAAAAGGAATATGACATTGTCCATGCATAGCACTGTAACTGTAATACCAACTGTCCCAGGCAATTAAAGGCAAATCATTTTGAATATTTCAAGTTCCGATAGGGGAGTGGTGCCAAGACATGCAAAAGCAGCTGTCATTTAACATTAGAATATAAATCAAACCATTAAAATCCTCTTAATTAAAACAAAAAATAGAAAATCAGAGAGAAACCCTCAGCAGAAATTGTGTGATTTGGAGGAAAGTAATCATCGCTAAAAAGGGGACTTAGATTTCACATAGGTACAAACATACAACATGAATATGATCTAGCAGACAGCTGAGATTTAGAGACTCTTAAAAACATATTAACAGCAAATTAATGAAGTTATGAATTGCAAGACTAGCACACAGTAGGAATTATGCCTTCACTCCAGCTTGTATTATCTTGGTAAGCAAGCACATGAGGCAGTGCATGCCTGGAGGACTTCTTTTGTGCCAAAATACTTCAGCTGACTACAACAATGAAAGAAATATGTTCCATGTTTTTACTTAATATCATACTCACTGTAACAAGCAAATTACAGGAGGCCAGAGGAAGCAGAAGGGAGCAGAGATAAGTGTATGTAAATTACAGCCTTTCAGCAGAATGCTGCTGCAATAACCACATCAACAACCTGTAAATGACAAGGTAGTAGAGTAGCACCTATTAGTGATTTGGAAGGAAGAAAACAAGCTACTCCTAAAGCTGTTCACACCTAGATCAGCCTTAGAACACACTACAACTCCACATGCTATTTATACAAAAGCAGAGATTATGTAAGCACTTGGGAGATCTCACAGAATGTTCACTGCTGTAGGTAGAAGTAAAACTAACACCGAGTTCACTTTCTGCATAGCTCTTTCACACTATGGTTTAGCTGCAAATGACCCCCTCAACCCTATCCCCATAAATGGTGCATGCTCTTACATCATGAGACACAGGAGCTCTCAGTATTATTTCCATGTAACAGCCCAAGCCAAAGAATTCAACCACGCTAGTATTAAATTGCATGATTGGGAAACTGAGCTTGGAAAGAGAAGTTTCCTGTCAATTCTAGAAGAGAAGCAGAAGAGATCAATTGATATAACCTGATCATTATTCAGAAGTAGTAATTGGGCTGATGGTGTTACAGTCACTAACAGTTTTACACAGGTGCTGCATTATAAACTGCTCTTGTGGGCACGGGGCTACTGGACATTCAGACTTAAATCACTGATCTGGGTATAGGATGAAATCAACGGGCTGAACCTGTTTGAGCCAAGGGAGAGTGATATCAAACACCAAGGAGGATCAGCCAAGGGGAAGTCTGAAGAAGCCTTGCACTAAGCCGCACCTTGCAAAGACATGCATTAAAATTCTTAATAGCCACTTTACCAAACAGCAAAGGCACTTTAAAGCCTCGTATGCACACATCTGCAGCTGGTTAAGGCTCATAGTCTAGCTAACTGAAACTTCACCAACAGATCATCTCCTTCCCTCGCACCGACATCCAAATTCAGGGGCAACAATCTCGCAGTCGGCTGCAGCTGCACATCCTCAGCCAGATCACAGTGCTGATCAGCACAGGGTTTCCAGAGGGGTTACACTGCACTGCTTGGTCTCAGAAGGAAGGCTGCTACCACCACTCATTCCTCTTACACTTTCAGAATTCAGTTTGACCTTTCGGTTTTATTTTTGAATGAGGGCATTACTTCTGCAGAATTCACAGCTCTGCAAGATTCAAGTTCAAAACTGGAAGTGTTTGAATGTATGCAATTCCAGCACTTCTAAGTTATGTTTTGACAGCAGGAACAACAGCTCATCACGCAACTTCTGGCATTTCATAAACGTTTGCCTTACTCTTTTTGTTCAATTATTGGAGTAATAAATCTCATGCAAAGTTTATTTGAAGTATCTTGCAGCCACGTGACCCCCACACCATGTGCTATGTGCTCAGAGGCCTCTCAGCAAAGGCAGACACTTTCAACTGCTGCACTGCAAGCTTACCAGAAAACTCACCACCCCCCAGCCCTATGTGGTAAAGGTCAGGATATTATTGTTATTAGCACAGAAAGTCTGTAATAGGGACTCACCATTTATTTTTCAACTGGAATTTTCCACAAAATATCCTGATGTTTATAGTTGCTACAGATTTTTCCCTACTCAAGTAATTAGTAGGATGACTTTAATTAGCAGATGAGCTCTGAAGACCGAAAAGATACGTTCAGACTGCGAGAAAAAAAAAAAAAAATCTCCAAATTTCGATTTTGATTTTGGTATTAACCTTACTGAAATCCATACTCATGTGCTAATAAAGTAAAATAACCTTTCTGATGCAAAAAAGAAATTCAAATTAAACTGGTAGGGATCTCCAAAGACTGAAGTCCTTCCTTCTATTTCATTACAAATCAATAAAAACAGTATTAACAAACACAGCAGACAAGTTCATGTTATATCATAGAATGCTTCTCAATCCAGATGAGAACTGTCAAACATGGAAAGTAATGCAAGTGCTGCTATTTTTATGGCAAGAGTGCCAGAAAATTTAAAAAAAGATTATTTAAAACATAAAAGGACTCTTGATAAAAAGCTCCTTCCACATTAAGTCACCTAGCATTCATTCCTCTATTCCAAAATAGTACTGAATTTCCCCAACGTTCTGCAACACCGCATGCTCAAATCAGCATATTTCTCTGAAATAAATCTACCGAAGTGATCACTCAATCTGGAAAATAATATTTATCAAATCCAAGGCATGCTATGAACAGAATTGCTCAAAATGTCAGTTTCTAAAAGACCTTCTGGGAAGTAGAGTCAGGTTTGAAGTTAAAACTTACATATGAAAATGAGTAGCACAAGTCTGGGCATAAAAAAACCCACTGTGATTATGAGACTGTTTAAGCAGATAAGAGAAAGTAATGTTTTTGGTTGTTTTTTTTTTGGTTTTTTTTTGGTTTTTTTTTTAATGTTTATCTCGGGAATTTTAGGCACTTCCCTTTTACATTGTAATTATTGATGGAGTTGAAATTCACTACAGAACAGTTTGGGAGATGAAGTCCTGTATAACAGCTCTGCTTTCAGTGGGAATTGATAGTTTTCTCTCTCAGCCAATTCCAATCTAATTTTGACAGACCTCACTGTTCACAAGTCTGATCTTCATGAAGCAGGCCAGTCAGGACATCAGTTGACCTGGATCCTGTCTGTCAGCAAAGAAATTACTCAAACAGATGGTTAGTCCTTTGTAATGACTGAAATGCAAGGCCCTGTAGTAGTCTTTGGAAAGTGAACCAAGTTTTTTCAATTTAATATATAATTTTGCACCTGCACTTGCTGTAAAACGAGGTTAGATTACACAAGCTGCTCCACAAGCTATAAGGTATTAAATTCTTTGCATCAGTATTGTGATATTTTACTGCTTAAATAGTAAATAGTCTAGTAAGACCAAAAGCTAACGTTAGGTATCATAGTCACGGAAAAGAACACTTGCTGCAAGGAATTCTAGTCTGAACCACTATATATTCTTGCACAAGTCAAGTTCTTCATTATTAAGATGTTTCTTGAACCTTCATCTGTCTGTGAATAAGTTTCAGGCTGGTTTACTCCTTTCATTGAGCTCCTATTATGAGCTGGTTTCTGGAATTGTAGGAAGGTGTGTTATTCTATAATAGCTATGCTTAAGCTGCCGTGCTGTACGTCCAGACACGATCCATTTTAATTTCTGGACATTTGGTTTGGAACACTTGCTTGAGGAATATTCTGTAAGGCACTTCAACACCAATTCCTTCCAGAAGGTCAAATCTCTGTTGTTTATCTTGGAAGAATGCAACTGCAGAAATTCCAATGCCTCTGTCAACTCTAGTAGTTTTTGTTCTTCTATCTCTAGTGCCATAATAGACAGTGCTAAAACAGAAGGCTTAGCTTTAGAAAACATGATTCTGCAGTGACATGCCTTAATGCCAAAGTGTCTCATTCTCAACTACCTACTACATAAAACAGAACTTTTGAACTTCTAGAGGTGGGAAGAAAAACATGAACTATAGAAGAAAATACACAGAAAACTCACCATGGTTATTTCTAGATCTCTTTTTCTTCCTTGTTGCCACCAAATCATTTATTTAGCATAGAACAAAATAATCACTACTGCTATCTATAAAGCGATAGAAACAGGATAACATTGAAGAAGAGTTTCTTACCATTACATAATGCAATAATTAACTGACAGGTGACTAATTCTATTTCCACCAAGAGCTATGGAGAAGAATACTAACAGCAAGATGACCTCTGGTACATCAGAGACACATTCACCAGATATCAGCATGGTCACATTGGATATGTAAAACCCTGAAATGTTATTTTCTAAAGAAAAGCAGAACATGTAAGGAAGAACATTTAGAAAGATGTTCAACAGAAGGACAAAAGGGAAAAGCTTGTAGTCTAGTTTATAGACTTCCCTTTTTGTTCATATTCCATTGTGCAGAAAACTGACTGGTGGCATATCCACAACACTGAAGAATGAGAAAGTGAAGCTTCATGTAAATGTTCTAATATCCCTGAAATTTCCATTTTGGAAATATGTTTCATATTTACAAGCAAAGGAACCCAACCAAGGAGAATGCCAACGGGAGCTTCACTTTCCAAAACACATGATGGAATAATAGTTTTAATGGAATACCATTGTACTGACACAAGTGAGCCAAAAGCAGGACTATGCAAGACCGAGTTCTGACTTGCACTAGCAAATATAGAGTGCAGTTTAGTAAATGTTTAGTAAACTACTAAAAAATCCCCAGCTTGTCACTGGATGTCTCTATGGGGGCAGAATTAGATTTGCATCACATGGAATGAAAGAATGTAGACAAAAAAATAAAAAACAAACAACATGCTGTAAGGAGTCAAAGTTTCAAGGAGAGATTTGATTCTGTAGCAGTTTGACAACAACTCTCCTATGTACACCAGTCAAAAGTTCTGCATCCTGGACTACAAAATCAAGACAGTACTGTTCCACTCTTCTATTAAATCAACTGCGTCACCTGCTAGTTGTATAAAGAATAATCCAATATTCACGTAAGTGTTCCAGCTCTGTGTTTTCTTATCTGTTTCTGTAGCTTGAGTTTTAAAAGCAGACACATTATACAGCACAACGCTCATAAGAACAATACCAGTCATAAATAATAATGACTAAAGTGCAGGACATCGTATACAAAGATAAAACTGAGAGGAGAACAATGCAGACAAATTGTTTCTGTTTGCCCTTAGACTTCAAGTCTTAAAACTTTTTGATTTGTAAACATGATATTTCTGAAACAGCTTTAAAACTGAACTGGAGGTAAGGGTTGTTGTTTTGCTCACCTTCTGGAAGTGCAATATGGAAATGAAATGGGAGAGAAGAAAGGAAGAGCAGAAAGCATGCAAAGGCCAAGATCACCATCTAGTGACAGAATTTTTGCTTTACAAAAGGTATACATGAGTATAAGTTTTGTCTCAGATAAATAAACTCTCCACCACTTTTACAGTTATAGCCTTCTAATACAAACACTGTATCTTCATTCTGGAGTAGGAAAGATTCAGAGCTTGTGTTTTGCTGCAGTGAGATACCTGAAAAACCTCAAAATAGGGCATATATGTAAGAGAAAGCTTCCTTCCTTCTAGAAGAGCTTTTACCAATGGGCAATTATGGAGATTCCATTGAATCTGCCTTTAGTTCTTCCAACAAAAATTCTTTTCTTCTATTATCTCACTACTTTCTCTCTGCCACCACTGTGGACAACACTATCATAATGCAAAATAGTAACATTAATGGATTATATTTGATGCTGATTTCTATAACTTTATGTATTTTTAAAACTCTTCTTTTACATTTCTCCCTGCAGAAAGGAAAAAACTATTCTACAGTTACCCTTTTAGATTAAACTCACACCATCTATCCTCTTACTATTGCAATTTTTTCCCCCCTCAGTCCTGGCCTCTTCCCTTTCACACTGTACAAAAAGCTGTCTGCCAAAACCCAGCACATCTTCCTCTTGGGCATCCTCACCTGCTGCCCTGCATCTCCATTGGATGAACATTTGTTTTTAACATATTCTATAGTTCTTACCACTCGAGCCATTTCATACCTCATCAAGTGATTTTTATCCACTGCCCATTTTTACTCTCCATTTGGGAGCAGGAATGAGCTTCTTTGGAGCAGCTCTGGTACCCTCATCAGTTCCTGCTGTCCTTCTGCTCTTGATGCAGCCACAGCTCAGCTTTTCACAGATGTTCCTGCCAAAATACCAGGCAGGCAGCCAGAAGCACTGTGGCTGTGAGGCACAGCTGTGGCCGGAAGCAGAACCCAAAAGGTGCCCAGCTGCTCCCCAGAGACAGAACCCACAGAGGGTACAAAATTAAAGTTGCTAATTTCTTCTGGCAGTTAATATGGGAGTATATTTTTGTGTAAGGTACAACACAGAATCATACATGTCCCTTAAAGCTTGTAATCAGAAGACTTGAGCATTTTGACTAATTTCCATTCTTGTGCTTCTACCACCTACATTAAAAGCTTGTCTTAGCAATATTTACTTGCAAATAATAAAAACACACACAAAAATAATCCAGCAAAAACCAAAGCAACACTACCTTAAATTATAGCAATCTGTTTTCACACATGCCTGAGTCCCTTAAGATGTTAATGAAAAATCAGCTGAAGTAGTCTATAAAAGCAGTGATCTCAGTCTGCATGGAAAAAAAAAAAAAAAAAAGTAGGATCAATATTGTCCAATTGATTTAATAAAATATAAAACAAATAAAACCATACTGTCACTTAAGTGTCACAAAGCTTACGTCACAGTTTGTAAAAGTGGCATCTCTAAGACATAATAATACACATATAAAAATTAAGCTTCTCTAAATAGAAAGCACATGGGACAAAAGCAGGAGTAAATATCATCAATACATTTCAGCAGGTCAACATAAATCAGCTAGGGAGAAAACACATTATGCCATCTCACAATATTTTCCAAATAGCGTTTAATTACTAGGTGACAATCTGATGATGAATTGCAGAAAATAAACTGGTTTTTTTTATTTCTGCCACCATTTTTTCCCCCTAAATTATGCATAGCCACTTGAATAAATAAATTCTTAATATCTCTACACAAGGAAGTGCCTCAGAGGTAATTCGCTGTATATTTCATTTATTGACTTTGTTTTTTTCTTCTCACATGCTAAAATTTAGCCAGTAGAAACTGAATGTATTACATATGGGGAGAAAAAATGAGAAATGAAAGTCTCACTCACTCTCGTTTGGCACCAACATATTTACCACTAAAGGGTTTTTTTTATGTATTTATCAAGCAGAAATAAGATGCTAGTGGAATCATACCATCTGCAATACAGGTCAAGTTAAATCCCAAATAGATCATCATTTAAATCAACCAATATTTCTTTGAAAAATCTCTCCAGAATTTATTTGACCTTTTCTTTTTCCCCAGATCACAAAAGCAGCATGAAAGGCCATACTATCCATTTCCCTTTAATTACTAACAAACTTACTAGTGTTCAAGCAGAACCTTCCGAGCATTCGGTAACGACAAGAAGTGTTGGTAACTAGAAGTGTGGAGGAAATGTTTCTGAAGGAAAAACATTTCTCTAGATCAATATTTAGAGTAAAATGGTTTTTACACCTGTCGTAACTGGTGGAATGCCCCAAGTAGAAACATATTGATGCAGACTTGAGACATCTTTGTTATTAAATATGTGCACTGAATTTAAATCTATCTCACATGCAACCTTAGGCACAAGAGGGTCAAAACAGATGCCATCAGGACACCATTTTTCTATCTGACACTGTATCCAATGGTATACATTAGGGTTAAAGTCTGCTTTCTGTAATAACTTCATTTTCACCAAAGTAGGTACAGTCAGGTCCAGAAGCAAATGTCGATTTCATCGCTGTAACAGAGAACAGGACACTTTTCCCACTGAATTTAAAGGCCATAAAAATTGACTTTTAATCCTATAAAATTTTTCAGTTGAGTTAAATCTACCCACGCATGAAGAATATTTAATCTATTTTGAAGCAACAATTAAGGATACAAGCAGCCTTTCTTCATTACTTAATTTAATCTTGGGCTCACAGGTTAGAGTTGTGTTGGCTTTCTTTTTAAGAAACCATTTAAAGGATATTCTATCAATATAATAATGCATCCCATGATTCTAAGCCATTAAATTCTGTATAGAATTTAAATCAAGTTACCGTCCAACTTTTTGTATAGAAAAAATCAGCTTTCAAGAAAAAAAACCTTGATAAATCAGCTTTAAAGCATACAGCTAAGCCATGAGCAGAAGAAAATAGATTGATTTTACTGCATCTGGATTGTCTAGATAATTTACTTAATTTGAAATGAAGAACATCTTCATAAACCAATTACACTTTAAAATGTTTATTTCTTCTAAGTAATACAATCAGTTACGAGAAAGGATTTAAGAAGAAGTAAATCTTGGCTCATTCTCTTTAAGTGCCTCATCATTAATTTTACCTTCCATAGCTGCAAGGGGCACAAATAAGACACTGCTCACAGGAGTAGTTGGCAAGCTGATGTGAAAAATCCTACCACAGCAGCTTGACAGAAGAACTGAGAGCATGTTACACATTAGCATCTATGTTCAGATGTATCAGACTCCAACACTTTGTGAAAGCTCACAGAACACTATTTCAACTGCTAATATACTAAGGGAAAGAATAGAAAGTCTTTTGTGTACTTTCTCTATTTAGCACCACCTGATACAGTAATTCACATTGCCATAAAGAAGTTAAAAGAAAGTGATTATTTTTCCTTATTAACTAAAAATTAACTAATGAAATTTTATTTGGAACTTGAATTCAAAAGAGCTTAATGTCAAAGTTCAATATGCCTTGGATTGCACAAAATTGGATTTCTTACTCAACCTCTCTCATGTTAATTCTATCAACCAGCTTCTGTTTTGTGACTC